CTGCAGCCAAACCGTTTCGCTGGGCGGTTAGCTAGCAAGAGTACGCGGATCGAAAACATTTCTCCATCATTCTAAGTTCTAAAGGCATTCCGAGGTGGATAGCGTATAAATATACTAAGATCAGAAAAATGTCATATACCCTCAACCACCCCTTACAACCTCTTGAATTGCTGCCCCTACAAAAATTCTTTCGAAGATGATCATGTCCAACTGGAATATCAAAAAACGATTTATGATCGATTTTATTTAGTCTTAGCATTTTTTCTCAGCCGCTCCTGGACCGATACTCATAACCTATATATCTTTCTCATCCCTGGCATAGCAGCAGCCTTGTGCGAAAATGTCGTCAAAGCCTGAGCAGTACTTCTCAAGTTATACTCAACCGGACAGTCAAACAGGCAGATCGACAAACAGACATACAGACAGAGAGACAATCAGACCGACAGAAACACGGAAACGAGTGACAATGTCTTTCATGATGTACATGTTTGTCATATAACACCCTAAAAGCACAATATTGCATTTTCTAGATTTTTTGCGATTACAGTGGTTTCTCGCTCACTGTCGTTAAGTAAAACAGCCACTTACAAACCTTTTCAGTCGCAATCCGCCTGGAGTAAACTCTACCATTCTGAAAATGTAAATATTTGTCCTCTAGCAACTTTTTGAGGTTCCGCTATTCAACTGCTCCGCCCTCAAGCACTTAACCAAACCAGGCATCGAAGAGGAGTCATTTGTCAAACATGATCCGCTCCTTTTTGTTCCAGGGAAGATAAATTTTCGTTCGACGTTAAATAATTTATTAAGGCCGGCTCGGTGCTGCCCGTCGGCATTCCTGAGTTCTTTGTGCGGCGGGTCGTCAGGAATTTGCAGCAGGCCGGCCGAAACAGAAGATGCAAATGAATTGGGATGGACGGGATAGCGAGGGTTGAACAGTTTCGGCAGTCTATTGATCTCGGGGATTGTTCAGTGGTTGGTAAGTGGAATAGTTTGTGAGGTTTCTGAAAGTATAGGCTTATAGTTTGGGATGCGAAATAGCATCCCATAACTGGCATCACGTAAGTCAATATATCCGCGTAACAGACGGTCTACGTCATCGAGTGCATTCGAACTCGATTAGCTACGCGCTGTTAGAGTATTCTGGATAGCCGCGGTTGAACCTCTTGTCTACAGATTTTCAGAAGCCATTGCTCTCCTTGGGAGAAACAGCTCACGGGACAAGGGTTTCATGTTTCGATGATACCTTGCAATCATGATTTGAAATTATTTCAACGTATTGACAAGACAAAAGATTGCGAGTTATTATAGGCAGATTCGGTAAATTTGGAGAATTGGTGTCAGATTAACAAACCTTTCTTACATATTAATAAATGTTCTTCTTTTAGCAGAAGGCTGATATGAATAGATTATAAGTATACCTCAAGTGACACATCTTCAATAAGAGATAATGGAGCTGGGAGTTATTTTTGACACAAAACTTTTATTTATTTCCTACATCAAGAATACAACGTCAAGTGCTTATAAAAGCTTAGATTTTGTAACAAGTAATTCAAAAAATATTGCTGAGCCCGCCACGATGCTTAATTTATATTCCGTTTGTATGAGAATCCAAATTAGAATACTGTTCCATTGTCTGGAATCCTCATTACGAAGTGAATTCAAATGATCAGGAAAAAGTTCACAGGCGATTTATGAAATACTTGTAGCTCAAATTGAATGGTCTATATCCACCCCTTCTGAGCCGCGTCAAACTGTAGAATCTGTCAAAGCGGAGAGAATTTATGGGCCTTCACTCGGCTTACTACCCTCCTTTCTATTTTCCCGTCCTAGTACGAATGTATTATTGTCATTACCTGTGTATGTAATTTGTCGTAATTGTGACCAAATATCAGATATGATAGACATCTTACCTGAAGGTCGTATCGTCGGTCGTTCCTACAATATTGTACACCTTTATGGCGTCCTTGATTTTCATAGCTTTTTGTTCTATGTCAACGCTCTCTTTTGAGGTTATGTTACAAATATCCATTTACATCAAATTGTTCATGCTTTTGACTTATGTCATCTGTTATACCAGCGGGAAATTTCCTACAATTCAAAAAGGAAACGGCCTCACAATAGGAGAGCTCTGACGCTGATACAGAATAGTAGAAATCCATAAATACCTCAGCCTTTCTGAAGGAGAAAGGCCTTTGAAAATCAAGGAGGCCATGAAGGCGTATTACAATTGTAGGAACGACTGACGATACGGCCCTTAAGTAGACAGGTTTTGACAGTAGAGTGAACACTCTTTAATAAACATTTTTAGTTTAAGTTTCACGGTGTTAAGTTACAGATTGGTGTATAGAAATAATGTGGATATGTTACATTCTGTGAATAACCATTTTTATTGTGTATTTTTTGTTTTGCCTATTGTTCTTTTCGTGCTCTGTATTGGATATATTTTTATTAAGCAAGAATAGTATTTTCATAAATAAATAAACAAACAAAACAAATAAATAAGTAAATGAATGCCTGAAGTTTTGTCCTTGATATTGTGAGGAAATCGCAAAATTGTTGTTATGTAAGCCAGTTCAATCCGTGGTCTGTACTTGGTCTTCTGCTATGAACTCTCGGCAGAGTGTATTCACTTGGACAAGCCCAAGCTGAGCGGTTTGAGAGCACTCTGTGGCGCGTACCGGCTATTACGTCGAGATATCAAAGTATTCTCTTTGAATACAAAACTAAAGAGATCCCTGTCAGTGATTGATCGTTTCAAAAATTACATATTGCGACATCGCTTATTATCCATTTTTAGATTTTGTATCCGTCAAACGCCTTCAAAAAATTCAAATTTGTTGTAGATTGATCAGTAACTTGAAATAATATGATCACTCCACCCTATTTTTCATACAATTTTAATGATTAAATGTTGCTTATTTACTTAAATTCATACAAAGTTTTACTCACTTCAATTTGTAAGCTTTTAAGGGACAAGTTAATATTTCGCGGATTTTCGCACGAGATAATCATTTTAATACAATAACCATGATTACTCACAAAATTTCATTTTTCAGTAAGTGTTTTTTTATTTGTAATGCTATTACGATGCTGCTGGAACAATCAAATATTTATTATACACCTATTAGTTTCTGATGTGCAGGCATACTTAAATTTCACGTTTATCTCTACCCAATTCAATGCCTTTTTGTATTTTACGCAATTAATCTAGGCACTTTTGTGTTACCATAGTGATGTTTATCCTGTTTATATTAAGTATTCTTTATTATTTCATGTGTTATTAAATAGCGCATCCTAAATTTCACCCAATCAAGATATTTTATTATCAGTATTACTAAATGCTAGCATATGCGCGTATAGCAGATAGGCAGTACTGCCTCTGTTGTGTTGCAAACTATCACCGATAACATTTGCCATTTAGTACTTCTGACTGCCTCCGCTAGCAACAACTAGTTTCTCAAGTCAGTCACATTACAAGGGTCATATCATAGCTGGTCGACTCATCAAAAGGGCTGGTGACATCAGTGTTGTGTCTTCAGAAACCATTTGCATCCTAGCTATAGGTGTCCAATATGTACCACAAAAAACTTAAGGAGAAGGTAGGCTTTGAACTGACCTCCCAAATAACAAAAACTTACCTATATAAAAGCGTCACAATATTTGAGATATTGAATTTTTTCTTAAATTTTTAAAAAACGAACCTTTTCATCTGTGGTCTTTAGCTGCATGTACAAATTACTTATATATACTTTGTTCATTCTTTCTATAAAATACTTCATCATATACAAATGGAATTTAGTTAAAATATATTAAGGAACCATGATAAAAAAATAATTCTTTTGTGTTGTTACTGACTCGAGTCATTGATCCATGAAGGCTAACCATGCTCTGGCAGCATGCGGTCTGGCATTGTCTTGCTGGAAAATCGGGTTCTGGATGGTGTGTAGGTATGGAATATAGCGTCGGTTTAATTCTTTCTCTACACCAGGGCAAACGATTACGCCGATGTTCAGCTGTGAGAGGTACACCCAATGTGGACGATAAGAAAAAAAGCTAAACTGTCGTATTCGGAGATATACCGTACACATACCAACCGTCCTTCCATGCTCTTGAAACCAATTTTTAACGACGACTCGAGTACTACTGAATCTGTCTCTCAGAGCCAGAAGTCTTAACCAGCGATCCTGTCGCTCTTTGGTCCCTCTGGGACGACTAGAACCCCTCGCTCGCGGGCCTCGGTCTTCCTGTGTCCACTTTCATTCGCACTGTAGTATACTGCGTAAGGATCTCTTGGTCCTTCTAGAAACTTCTATAGACCGGCTTCACGCACCCCGACAATTCAACCCGTCTCAAAGTCATTCAGCTGGGAGACCTGGCGAATTCTATGCAATCTAGGCATTTTGAGCAATCACAAAAAGGCTTCTCAATGAGCTACACGAAATTTAACATTTAACTGACACCATAACTGTACGAAAACTGAATGCTTATCTATCACCAAACAATACACGCAGCCACCACAAAAATTTAGCAGAAAGACCTGATAATTTTATCACTTGTTGTTCATGGCAAGATAAATTGTTTAGAAAAAAGACTTCCATACAAGAGATTCATGGTTTAACATACAGTTTTTCATCATCTTATCATTCCTTCATACCCTTGGTGGAAACGATCAGCTCTATAATCATAGAGCTTCCAGGTATCTACGTACTGCGGCATCCACTGATCACCATTCCTGTACGATACAATACTGTAAAAGCGTCATACCCTTGATTGAGGTGGAAACTGTGTTTGTGGCGGTTGATAAATGGCTTATAACGTACCTCTTCGAAAATAAAAAATCAAAGATATAGTTCATCAATAGGGAGATCCGAAATATCTTTAGCATCGTCGTTTGATGAACCATAATCAGTTCAGAGTCCGTCATCGAATGTCAACTGAGATCCATTTTAGGTTACGACAGAAACTCAAGTAAGCTTATCAAAACGGTACGATAGACTCACGTTAGTTCGATATGACCAATACTCTCGACCAGATGTGATGTTTCTGCAAACATTAACGATGATATTCCACGAGGACCGGTCTTGACGCTAGCGCTGTTTCTTGACTTTTGGAAAACAATACGAAATCACGCAAACCTTAATTGATTTCGAATGAACAACTTCTTTGACCCCTTGACCCAAAAACTGCGTTCTCCATATCGAAACCCTACAAAATCTTGTCTCAACTACTCTGGTCGCTTCCTAATTATTTTATTGAGTGAAAACTGAACGCGATGTACGACCAAGCTCGTTATAATTCCAGAGCCTTAACTTCTGCCATTCTATAACGCCGTTCGCGGATTAAGTTCTCTAGAGGATCCAACGAAATGTTAACGAAAAAGGTCCTCAGTAGTCCTTGTTTTCCGTACCACGCGGACGAACTTGTTCCAAGTTAAATTGCTTTGTCGCAAGAATGATTTAGCGACGAGACAAGATCTGTTTTACGCTCAGTTGCCTCATGGCACGCGTTGAAGCATATGGGATGTGGCTTTATCATACAAGGTATCTAAAAGGTAGATACACTCGGGAAACATACAGGGTGTCCTCAAAGTTCGGCTTTTTCTTTACACGGCGTGAATATCTTGGAAAAGTGAGCAGTTTTTTCTAGCATCATATCCACCAACGTTTTAGGATTACTGAGATCTTAGACTATGCAAAATAACGTAACCAAAACTCAATCCGGTTCTGCACCTCGATTAGATCAAACGTGAACACAACGATGCGTATCAGTAGTCAGTCCAGGCTCTCTCCGCGGTGGCAAACAAAACCTTTACACATCTGTTCTTAAAAACAAAACGAAATTGGCACACTGATACATCGAAGTTGTCCATACTGTTTTGATTAACGGTGTCTTCGAAATGCTGCCGAGGCTTCGCGAAGGCATGCACACTGTTTTTCAAGATTATTCGTGATTTCTGTTTTTGTATGGGTCGAAATGAAATGCTTAGTGCATAAAACTGAGGTGAAAATGGTTGTCGCACTAAGTGTGCGAAGTTAGCTATGTTCTGCATTGATTAGGGAAATGCAGTCCATTCCAAAGGCCTACACTGGTGCTTGGCTTCGTCAAGCATATACACATGTGTTTGGATATATCGCAGCAAACTTCGAGCAATACTTACAAGTGACAGAGCTGTTCTTGAAATTTATTTTCGATGAACAGTGAGTACTTTTTCATGTATTTTTTTACGTTTTCGTTGTTGTTAGCTTTATTATAATAAACGTAGTTGTTTCTGAACTCCTAACCTTCAGGCCAACCTGTACTGATGAATTACTGGCTGATCCGAAACATAGTATTCTTTTTTCAGCGGTTTCAAGCAGATGTACTTCGGGAACGGGAAAATTTCAAAAGTGTGTACAGACTAAATTCTTAAATGAAGGAGGAGATGACTGATATGGCAAGTGTATCAGGAAGCGATGTCCCTTCACGTTAAATAATCTACGACAAGGTACGTATTGGACATCTGCTATGGACGATAAATTGTTAATCCCGTACACGATATAATTTTGGGCAATGACGAGTGACTGAGGCTGTGGGTATCCCAAATAAACTTGTGTTTCATATCTTGTGAAATGATTCAGAGCATAGGAAGCTATAAGCAAGACGAGTGGGTAACCCTGGGTCAAAAACGAATTCATATGAGATCTTCCAAACAACATCTGAATTATTTTTTACATCGAAGCAGCCGCACAGGCAGGAGCCTAAATTCCCGGGCACCGCGGCTGCTATGAGAATCCCAAGGAAACTTTGTTAATCAGAGTTTTGAACTGCCTAAGGTTACTAGAACTGGGAAACTCTCCCTGTTGTAGGTTGTTCCACCGTTAGGAGAAAAGGATCGGCCGTATCGGCCAGTTCTGGATGAATGAAGAATGGGAGGTGAAGGTCAGGCAGGTGAGTCTAGCAGGCTCTTGGACACAACTTGGTCATCCATCGAAACCGGATGAGCGCTAGGACGGTTTCTGTTGGCCAAGGTACACTCCTGCATTTTGCAAGCATTAAGCTGTACAAGATTGTTGCGATCCCAAGCGGTGATAACTCCCACGTCTCTCGTCAGAAAGAAAGTTGTTGCTAGTCTCCGTGTAACTCTGAAATCCTGCATGTAGAGTGCTGTCATCGGGAAAGCTGAATTGGATTGATCGTATAGGAAAGGAGGTCGTTGATGTGTCACAGCTTTCTTCACTTTCCATATATAGTGTTTTCAATATCCAGCTTCACGGTGTTTTTAAACTAGCGAAGGGTGTTCATAAGAATATTTTAGGATTTATTAGATACCTCAAATATTCAAACCTAAATGTCTCCCAAACGAGTGATTTGACAAAAATTACTTGAGTGGCAAAATTAATAGAAAATTGAATGGTATGTGATGAAATGCTCTTATTTTTTCCGAAAAATCCAGTGACGTAGAGAATATTTCCTACTAGGGGTCCAGGTACCCCAGTTCTACGTCCCTGGCTTAGTTTGGGCTCTGTTTGTTTATTATTTATGACGTGGTCACTGAACGCCTAAAATATTAACGCAATATCTTTACCCGCTCGGTAGACATATCTTCTTTTCCAATTTCGTAAATAAAACTTCAACACCTTGTAGCTTGGTAGGGGCGTATTCTTGGACCACTATCTATATGAACTTGTTCGTTATTTTGGGATGTACTTCCTATTCTAGAAATATTGATACGTCTTTCTGGAACACCCTGTATAGAAAATGAAAAAGTAGTATTTTCGTATTTTTTTATAACCAAATAAAGTTATAAAAAGAATTACATTTAACATCCACCATCGAAGATAAGTGAAAAGTATCTTTGAACGAGCTAATCCCAGACTAAATAACCGCTGGGTAAACTGTAATTAAAGTGACCTTCGCACGCAGATAACTCTCCAAATCACATACACCCCCGTCCCCAACAGCCAACCCGTAAACACTCGGCTACGTAAAAGTCCACACAGTGACAAAGTACAACCTAAATAGTTTACTCTGGTGGGAATAGTAGAGTGGAAGTTAAATGTTTGCACGTGTCGTTGTCCCACACGCCATTGGTCGGAGCATGTTTAAAGGATACCCCGCTGAAAAATGACGCGGGATGAAACTGGCTGCAATTAGGAACCCGACCAACTAGTTTTCTGGGGGTAGAGAAATTCAGTAAATCACTCAAAGTGGCGGTAATAGTTGGCGTTTGTACTCGTATGTATCACATAATGCTTTGGAGCTATTTCGGAAAGAAGAAGACAATCATCATGAAATCGAAAAGGAATGCCATTAACTTTATGGAGGCATGGCAGGGGTGTATGGTAGTACTATTCGTCATTGTCTGTCAGAGCGGTCCGTGGGACCTTTGCTCTTGGTTGAAGTCTTGTAAGTCAGTAGGTCTGTCAGGTCTGGTTGCCCAGATACCAAACAAAGTCAGGGAGAAAGAAGGGAATAAGAAAGGAAGGAAGGAAGGAGGGAGAGCAAATAAAAAAGAAGTGCATCAATTTGAGGGGTGCCTTGGCATTGCTAGTTAGTATTCGGCAATTTTAAGTTGATCCTAAAATTAATTTTGGGATTGGTTGTTGAAGAAAAAATATAATTTTGGTTGGACCTAAAGTCGCACGATTTAATTTAGTTCACAGTGCGAGTCGCGGCCTTGTGTGCTTGCGAACTTGATCGACTGTGTAGTCTACTGACTCGCGCAACAAAGGGTTGTTATGCGATTCTGCTTGACTGTAACGTAGCTGCGCTTGTTGTTTGATGTAGTCGCTTAGGTAAGGGATGTCAAGGTCTCTGTGAAGGGTCTCGTTGGAAACATACCATGGGGCGTTAGTGATTGTACGCAAGGTTCTGTTCTGCGAAACCTGCAGGCTACGCAAATGCGTCTTGGCAAGAAAACACCAAGCCGCACTTGCGTAAGTGATCGCTGGTCTAATAACCATCTTGTATGGCCGAACTTTGTTGATCAAACTTAATTTTGATGTTCTACATAGCATAGGGTAGAGTTGCCGAAACGAGATTTGGAATTTAGTTTTTAACGCTTCAGTGTGCTTCTGCCAGGTTGTCCCCTTGTCAAGAGTGATACCGAGATACTTAGCAGAGCATTCCCATGGTACCCGAGCGCCATTCACTGAAACCTCAGACGGGGCGCCGCTACGTTTTTTAGTACAATAGATTGCCTGCGTTTTCGAATGATTAATTTTGATCAGCCACCGATTCGCCCATTCCAATACCTCGTCCACTGCACTTTGCAGCCTGTCGTGAACTAGATCCCCAGAGCACGACTGGGCCACCAGGGCAGTGTCATCAGCATAGAGATAGGTTTCACAGCTGCTGGGGCAAGGGACGTCATGAATAAAAAGTGAATAAAGGACTGGTCCAAGAACCGAACCCTGAGGGACACCGGCTTTGATGGGCCGGGTTGTCGACAGAACGTTATTAATCTTGATCCGAAATTTCCTACCCTCGAGAAAGGATTTCAAAAGTTTTAGGAGCCAGAAGGGGAAGCCATTATGTATCAATTTGTAGAGAAGGCCCTTGTGCCACACCTTGTCAAATGCCTTTCAGGCATCCAGTAGCAAGATGGCAGTACTTTCATTACGGGTGAACCCGCTGGTTACTCGTTCAACAAGCCTTATGGCCTGTAGCTCCGTACTATGCTCAGACCGGAAGCCAAATTGCACGTCAGGAATCACATTGTGGTCTGCCGAGAAATTTTCAAGGTGACGTAGAATCACCTTTTCAGCGAGCTTAGAAGGAGCTGACAGTAGACTAATGGGGCGGTAGTCCTGAGGGAATATCGAACCCACCTTCTTTGGAATCATTATGCAAGCAAATGTGATGTACATACTGCCTTATTTCGATAGACCATACCTCCTGAATATAGAATAGTTACGATACTTTCGTTCGTTGTCCAGAGACGTGAGACCAAGCCTAGACTATGCTGATGAGTAAGCAAGAAGTACGAAACAGCTGTCCATGGTTGGCTGTCTTTTGGTCGGACTGACGGAAGCATCATGTCACAATATATCTAGACATGCTGGTCCTCTATACACCTGTCGTTACATTTTATTAATGCATTTACAGTTATGTCTTCTCCCATGGGTGTAAAACAAAAAGAGTGACTTACCTAAGTTTTGCGATAGAACTTCTCAGTAGGTATGAATGTATACTCACCTGAAAAAGGAAAACAATGAAAAAATTTGCTATATAACCACAATAACTCTTCTTGGTTGACGCTAACATGAGAAAATACGTTCTAATCAGCTAGATAATATATACATATACTGTAAATAGGACTCCATTGTCTGGCCGAATCAACACAATTTCAATTTCTGTTTATTTTAAGACGTTTCGACCACCACTGGGCTTTTTCAAGTACAATTTATAATTGTGTGACAATATATACTAAGTGACATATAGAATGAAATTATTTATTCCATTTTAATAAAAAATTGTAAACATAATTGCTTTCATGGCAGTATTATACCTTCCAACTGGAAGTTTTTTAATCATGACCCACTTAACTCCATTGAAATCGAAACATTTTTGATGAGAGGCGCTAAGTTTCAGTTTTGCCCGTAGGCGATGAAACCTGTAGGCTGGTCCTGAGCAACGGGACTACTTGGCGTAGGCCGTACGTTGTTTATGGATCTGAAATGTGAGAGATACTACCTCGATATTTAAAAAGAACTATGATGTTTGTCTTGTGGGGAAATAATATAAGGCACAAGAGTTTTCCCATGAGATAGGGAAGTAAAACATAATAATATAAGTTAAAAACTCAACATCCATCAGTCGGCCCGAAGAATATCATTTAGATCTTTCCATCGAGGATATTGAATCAAATTGAAGAAATTGTTGAATAATTGTATATACGTGATTGGATTTTTTCTGTCTATATTTTCATTAGTAGGTTTTGTGCGGCACATTAGAAACCTTGTGTTAGTTATTTTGAAGGAAGTTCTGCTGTTAGTTTTTTTGCAAAGACCTCTAAGTCTTTCGGATAAACCTCTTACGTATGGTATTCAAATTGTACTGGCTGCGGTTTTTACTTGTCTTGTGGGTATAGGTGAAGCCTTTGAATTTGAGATTTAACAAATGTACTGTACCATTACGGTAAAGTCTGTTCTCCAGGAAAAGTTTTTCGCTATTTCTAAGTTCCAGGAGGTACAAAAACATTTGTAAACTTTCCTCAATTGCAGATGCAGCACATTTGCTCCAGTATTGGCGATTTAAAGCACAAACACACCATAATTCTCTCTCGCGGTTGAATGCTGACTGCATATAGTTGCTCAAAACGTATAACTCAATAGACGCGCTGCTCTGCGGATCTCTCAGCAATAAATATCGATCCTATGACCAAATCAAATTTAACATTCATCTCGGTGAAACGATTTGAATGGTTTCTGTTCGGGACGTTACTTGAATTCGTGTCAAGTATTCCATTTCCAAGGGTCATCTCATGTAACACAAATCGATTTATCATTTGTGTTATGAAAAAGTTGTTGTTGCTCGAGGGAGTTACGTACCAACGAGTCCATCAAGTACAACACTTCACCTTGTCTGTAACTATGCTGAGTGACAAACATTTAGTAGCAGTCTGTAGCAGAGTTTAGCTCATTCTAACAAAAAATTTCATAAGGTTGAGTCACAGTACATATCAATTAATATATATCTGATCTTAAGATTTATCTTACAGACATACACGCATAATGAACACTCCATTTACGTGAAGATAGCCAACCATGTATTATATTTCCGCGTCCAAAAAATTATCAGAAATGAAATGAAATACGGTAGCGTCATTTGCTATAATTTGTCACAGCCATGTTTCTCTTCTCCACACAAATTATAAATCTAGTTTCTTTTCAATGTAGGTTGCAAGTTAATGCGAAGAGGAGAATGATAGCTGTGGCAATCTTCTAATTTTTGGACTCAGGAATACAGTATTAGGTTGACTTTACATGTAATACGTTAATCAATGGTACATAGCACTTTATTCACTGCTAATTACGTCGAGAGCGTTTTTGAGGAAATGAGATATAACGTTTTTTGTATGTTATCTGACATATACATCACGAGAAACAATGTCGCTCATTTCTGTCTGAGTGTCCGCTAATCCCTGACACTGCTATAACGTGGAAGTTACCGGTCTGATTTTGAAACATTTCCATACAAGGTTACTTAAAATAGAAATTGCTCAAATTTCATTTTTTGACGTAAAAAAATGGGCCGTGGGGGATTCCAGTGAGGTAGGGGAGAGTACATTTTAATTTTTTGAGTTGGTAATTCTACGCACCATTTAGACAATATGTCTATTTATATATTATCTATACTTCCCTGTACATTTATCCTAAAAACAGAATGGTGTCGAATTACAAGGTGATTCAGTGAAACAGCACGATTTGGCAATGCTTTTGGCGGAAAGATAGAGGAGCTGCGAGCTTGCGACGGTAACGTTGTGAATCTAGAGAGTGGGAAGTTTAGTTATCATGGAAAAGTGGTCGGGTGAACAAGGCGCATTTGATGTGAAAGCTTATTACAAAAATGCTGAAAGTTTGGTGCGTGTACAACGAGCGTTTCGTTTACACTACCATCTTTCGACCCGCGCTCCTGTTCTTTGGGGATATCTTAAGTCGAAAGTGTTTCAAAATAACCCCCCAAGAACTATCGAGGCTTTGAAAGAACGAATACGCGAAGAAGTGGAAGCCATACCTCAGGAAATGTTACTCAATGTCGTACCTTGCTTTGTACCTCGGGTGTGTGTCCGACAAAGTGGAGGCCACCATTCCAATATCATCTTGAAAAACTAAGCATTTCTTCACTTACACATTAATTTTTCTTCTATGTAGTATACGCGCAGTCCTGCCGATGCATGTGTGTAGCAGTCGACCTCCGCTCCGTACACATATACTAAGTGACATATAAATCCGAACACCCAGTTTAAATGGTTTTATTTTAATAAAATTTTGTATAAGTACTTAATGAAGCATAATAAGTAAATGATAAAAATTTCAAAATGATTGCACTGCTTTAAAGCCCTTTGCCTTTAATAATGTGTGGATGCACCCTGATGTGCTACGCATTCTCCAACGCGCCTAGGCATGCTTCTGATCAGGTGGTCAATGTCCTCCTGTGGTATCTCATTCCAGGCAACCACCAACTCCTCTCGAAGTGCTTCTAGAGTCTGAGGAGGACGTTGCAAATTGAGCAATCTCCTACCCATCATATCCCACACGTGCTCAATTGGGGATAAGTTGGGAGATCTTGGTGGCCATGGTAACAATGTGACATTATTATGTTGAAAGAAGTCTATTGTGACTCTTGCAACATGTGGTCGGGCATTATCTTGTTGGAAAGTTGGATCTGCCAGGGTGTCAAGATAGGGTAAAAGATGGGGTTCTAGAACTTCGTGGATATAACGCTGCGCGTTCATGTTACCTCTGATGAAGATTAAAGGTGACCTGGAACCATAAGCTATAGCACCCCAAACCATAACTCCAACAGTGTGATGAACATGTCTTTCAACAAAAAACTGTGGATTCCTCCTTTCACCACGTCGCCTTCTAACCCTGGCACGACCATCGTGCATGCCTAAACAGAATCGAGACTCGTCACTAAAGACAATACTGTTCCATTCCTGATCCCAGAGTGACCGTTGTCTGCACCACTCATGGCGATTACGTCGGTGTTCTCGAGTTAAAGGAAGGACCCAGTGTGGCCGGTATGAAAACAAACCAAAACTTCTCATTCGTCGGTAAACACTTCGCATGCCAATAGGTCTTCCGTGTTCTGCAAACCATTCATTTGCAATAGACCTGGTAGTGGAGAAACGGTCCCTTAAGGCCAGTAATCTTAGGCGGCGATCTTCACGGTCTGTTGTTCTACGGCGGCGTCCAGTGCCCCTTGCTCTTTGCGTACGGCCTTCTCGAAGCCATGCCTGTCCCACTATACGGCCCCTATCAAACTCACTAAGTTGACGAAATCGTACAGGTCTCCGTACTCTAGGCATCGTAACCGATCGTAAAGGATGTCAGGAACCAAAATCCGCCAACGTTGATTGTTTACTGCGGCTGAAATATTCATTTTTAGAGCGTTAGTGAATTAAAAAAAAAGCAGTATAAAAACCGGAATGTCCAACTGGTAAGGCTGAAAATTTTTTCACTTGTTATTTACAGTAAGATAAATACATTCACCAACTTTTATTAAAATAAAACCATTTAAACTGGGTGTTCGGATTTATATGTCACTTAGTATAGTTTATATCATGTGCGCTTGCAGGAACTTTTCTCATGGAAAGAGGAGGGCCATTAACCGCGAAAGAAACAACTTTTTGTTAAAGCGTACCTGCCTCCAAAACTTTTTGAAGAGCGAGAAAGCTTTATTCTCAGAGGGGCCAACTTGTGCGGAACAGAATCCTTTATGAACTGACGATAGCGTTGCGCAGGAAGTGCAGATTTAAACTACTTGACGCCATTTTTTCTCTATACTTCTATTCTAAAGATAAGCCGCACTGTATAGCTAGAATTTACTTTTTTAAAGGCCTGGCCTTCAATGATATCCGCAGATTGATGCATAACTTCACCGAGCTATAGCAATAACTAGATCAAAGCTCTGGTAAATCAACACTTAAAAAATGTTGTTTCATTAAACGTTACCAGGAATTAATATACGAAGTTTCATCAGATGAATTTTTGATTACTTTTTGAACCACTTTTTTCGGGTCTTTTTTCGTTCGAGCTGCATTCTGAAATTGCGTATATTGAATAAGTTGGCCGTTATCCAATGCAAGCTCACAATTTTGTTAGTTTCATATGGTATTTTGCAATTGCCAATAATGCTTTCATTAGATATTGGGAGATCTAGTTTTCAAATGAAATATTTCTAGAACCAGTAGTTGCAATGTCGCATGGTAAAATCCACATCAACTGTATTTTGCACACATACAAGTACGGGCATTCACCAGATTCCGTTGTCTAGAAAATATATGTTCCCTGTATGTCATGCCAACTTGCTACGAGGACAGACTGAAAAGTTCCTGGTTATAGTAGGACACCTTTTATGAAGTGGAACACTATAAGGCTGTCAGGGTTTTCATTTACGACCCTCCTTACTTTTCAGAAAGAAGTTCCTTTAAATTTGGAAACAGATGGATGTCGCATCTTGCCAAATCAGGATATCTGGGATGATGGATGAGCAAACAATACCCCTAAAACTATGCAGTTTTATCATTATCTTTATAT